GGGGGAGCGGGGGGGCGGTGGGGTGGGGGACCGAGAGGGAGGTGCAGCCCTCCTGTGCCTAGAGGGGAGGGGGCTGGAAAGGTCGTGCACAGGCCTGACGATTACCGCAGCATCTTTAATTCCCAAACAATCCTTAGTCCCAGAAGCCTGGACTCCAGTTCAGCTCGCAGACTAAACCATAATCACCGTTTAATGAAAGAAATCCTCAGTAAAACACGAAAAGCAAGTAAGCCAGCGGCGGCCCCCCGTGAGTCATCCGCTGGACTAGTAGTCGGTCCCCCAGGTTGTGCAGAGTTCTCGGACGGCTCAGCTGACTTTGTGCATTTGAGCACCTGCTATTTCCTTTCAGAGCCCATCAAGGCCTTAGTCCCAGTGGCTTCACGGGATTGGAGGCAGCTGACTAGTGTGACTCAGAGAAACCTCTTCTTACCAAAGTACAAGAGAACCAGCCGGGGAGGCCCTCACGGCCGGCTCTCCTGAGCCGCCACCTCCAAGGAGGTCTGCGGGGCCATCGTGAACTCACGGGGTCTGTCATTTTGCTTCCCTGCCCAGCCCTGGGCCTTGGCTTCCCATCCACAAGACAAAGGACCAGAGCTGGCCAAGGTCACCTCTGACCCTATGGGACACACCTCTTAGAGGTCAGGGTCAAACCTGCGCCAGCACCTGCGACAGAGATTCATTGACCCCAGGGTGTTAGGGCGGGTGTGGCCTAGTGTCGCTTTGCATTTAGATCTTATAATGTAGAGAAATTCCCTTTTTGAGAATAAGACTCTAAGGTGTAGTATTTTAAAACAATAAGGGAATATAACTCGTGTGCCGTCTGTTCCTTGAGGGTATGAATCAAAAACGGGAACTGTATGGAAATTGTACGTCTCGTCTTTATGAAGGTTGCTAGGTAATGTGTAAAAAGGCTAGTGGGAAAAAAAAAAAAAAACAAGAAAGTTCCCAAGTGACAGGAGAGCGTGGGCTATTATTTTATTATATGTGATTATTTGGCTTCCCACTTCCTGCAGTTTTTGGATTAAAAGTCATCCTGCAGCCTGGAAAAACTATTCAATAATGAGTCAGATTCTCCCAGTGCATAAACTATTATTTCACTCCCGTAATTCTCTCTTTTCTCTGTTGTTTTCCCTGTTTCTGGTGGGGACGGGGGTGGAGGAACGTGTATGCAGACACCTGCCTCCATCCTGTCCCTCTGTAGCTACCAGGCCTCAGCCCCGCTCCCCTCTCCCTGCGCCCTGGTTAGCCTCTGGGTCTCGGCCTTGTTTACTGAGGAACACAGCTGTTTGCCCAGGAGTGACAAGCAGTGTCCCTGCACCTCTCCCTTCAGCCATAGTTTGCTGTTCCAAACCGCAGTGATTCTTAATCTTCGTTGTTCTTTGTTAAACCATTAAGAACATGGTGGTAATCATGGAC